GTGGCCTGCTGGGATGTCGACGAGCGCGTAGTGCCCCACGGCTGGGGCTGTCTGCCAGACATGCTCGCGCACTGCACGGCAGAGCGCAAGTGCGGCGGGATGCGACTGAACACACGAGTCACGACAGGTACGGCAGTCGAGCTGAAAAATCCCCCCAAAAGAGTGTCGCATACTCTGCTGCAGCAGCTTCACTACAACGTGGGCAGCTTTCGCCACCCCATGGCCCGGAGCGTCGTCAAGACGATCGTGCGCCCGACGACGCACGGCACCTGGAAAACGCCTCATTCCACTTTTCCGCAAAGGGGCTGGTGCCATCTCGACGAGCTGCTCAAATGCCCGTCCAGCCCCAGTATGCCCTTTATGCGCAGTCCGCAGACGGCACAGCTCGGCTTCATCCTGCACCAGCAGTGCCGCACGCTGCTCGACTGGGTCGTCAAGAAGTCGCTCACGGGGCGAGTCGATACCAGCAGAGGCAATACCTGCCAAACATGCTTTGCCTCCCTCGAAGATATATACGAAGAGTACAAGGCATCGTGCGGCCTGAACATTCCGGCAGACAAGCCGAGCGTCTTCGATGACCGCATGGCGCGCACCTTCATGCGTGCAGTTGATGGCCGCCTTTTGATGGTGATGAAAGCGCTTCACTCTGAAATTTGAATGAATTGAGAAGAGAGAACAATGAGGAGACGTGAAGTGGGGAGGACATGATTGATTAGATTAGAATTAAGCAGGAAGTAAGAGAACGTACTATCTCCTGGTATATCTCTCTCCCGGTATCCCGCTGTATCTCCCGCCGTATGCGTATCCCCCGTAAAGCCGTATGCGTATCCCCTGCCGTAGGTATCCCGCCGCGGATATCGCGAAAGATTCTGGCCACACCAGCGATAGCAACAGCCAACAGCAACACCAGCATCCCCCCAGCGCCCAGGTTCCAGCAAGAGCCAAGACCAAGTCCAAGAGACTAGAGCTGTCAAACGTTAAGAGAGCTGAACAGTGTTGCTAGTGTTAACAGTAACAACAGAACAACAGTGGGGCTCCCCAACAACAGTAGCTAACGTTAGGCCGGCTGAACAACAATAAGGAAGGCCTGGCAGTGACCCACGACGATCTCCAGCGTCCAGTGCGGGTAATACCCGAAAATAGGCCCGGGAAAACCCAGGTATTTTCGGGTTTTACCCGGGGGTTTTGGCATTTTCTGCTTGCTGGCCACTGAACAACAGTAACAACAGTAACAAACAGTAACAGCTTGGGCTGGGGAGAACACTTGAACAACGTTGAGGATTTTCAGCCAACAATAGTGCAACTGTTAGGCCCAAAGTTAACACGTTTGACAGCTTCTACAAGAGACAAGAGTGTTTTTATGTGCGGTTTGAAACAACGATGGCGCTTCCTCGATGCACGATGGGCGCGCGGTGCGAGGGAGCACAGGCTTGCGAGTTGTCAGTTGAGCGTATTCGATAGCACAACTCGCTCGCATCATCTGACACGAAAAATGGCGGCGGGACACTCTCCACGTCACACCTCGAGGCCTCGCGTGCCCCGCTACCGGCGCCGTCCCCGCTTGCCCACGTAGTCCGGCCCGGCCGCCGCAGCCAACCACTTGTCGAGGAAGCCGTCAAACTCGGGGCCGCCCATTGCGGCGAGGGCGGCGTCGCTCGGCACCGGCGGCGCAAAGGTCGAGTTCTCGACGACATGCCGCA